AAAAAAATTACAAAAAGCTGATTTTTGAGAACTATAAATTTTTGACAAAAATTTACTTTTTTGAAACAAAAAAGACTTTTTGAAGGAAAATTTATTTTGAATATTTTGGAAAATCTGAACTTTTTAAAGCAATCGTATAGCTTTAACCGTATAGAGACAAAATATCGAAGCGCGTAAGCGCCGCGTCGCCGTCTAACGGATAAACATCGGTACGGAACCCATAGGAATGTAAACAAAATTTTATACTATTGTTAAATCTCTATTATATATCTGATGATTTGATGTGCATATGTCTAATGATCATTTTTGACCGCCAGGTGGCATTTTTTTTTTACTTTTTTTACTAGATCTCCGAAACCGCTAGATCTGCCTTCATGAAAATTTGATCAGTTCTTCATCTTGTTAATACAAGTAAAATGTTTTTGAATTATTCAATCGGACGATTCGTCTCTTAAAAACGGAGGTTACCGTTTTGGCACTTTTGCCCCATATCTTCGGAACGGCTAGACCTGCCTTCGTCAAAAACTAATCAGCACGTCTCCTTATCATACGAATCGAATGTTTTTGAACTATTCAAATCGCTTCACATCCGTGTTTCCGAAATCGACGAAAATTTGTATCCGCACATACACACATACACGCACACACACAGGAACCATACACACACACATCCATTTTTTTTTCTAAGGTATGCCAAAATGTTCAGGAGGTTTTGAAACGTAAAGATTTATAAAAATTTCATTTTCGATTTTTTTGCGATTACTACTGTGCTATTTACATAAATTTTCAACTGTTTACTAAGAAAATAAAGTTTTTGCTTTCACTAAAATTAATATATGCGAGTTTTATTTAATATTTACAAACTTTTAAACTAAGACTATATATACGGGGGTGAAGATAGATTTGTTTGATTGCAACTACCAGGAAAAAAAATTTTGAGCTTTTAAGTGGAATCTAGAGCTTTTGTGGAACTGACTATTTTTCGATTATTGTGATTAATTTTATCAATTTTGGTGATTGTTGTTGTCATTTATAAGACCTAGACGAAAATAAAGACAATTGTTCAGGTCGTCAGAATTAAGACTATTTGTTAAACTATGAATTGGACATTTTCAAAATTAGCCTACTTTGAAAAGCTCTCCTTTAGAAAAATGTACTAAAGTATTTGATGATGAATTTAATAATTCTGTTCAATATAAATTAAATTTTAAAGCAATTTAAAGGTAAACGTGAGGTTATGTGCATCAAAATTGATAAACCTGGAATTTTATATTTGCATTCTATTGAATCTTAGCTCTACGTCTCTTTTTATCAAGCGTAAAAGATTGGAATCAAATCACGACTAAAATCATCAAAATGATTTACCTTCGAAAGCGTAGGTCTACAAAGTATCGTGTTTGAATTCCACCTTGGTATGAATAAAAAACAAATGGCAGTTTGAGAAATCGCCATTTATTCTATATACATATACATTATATTAAAAGCTCTGTGGCATCCAGTGTTTCGCCTCTGTTGTGGTTTTTAGAATTAAATACAGGTATTAAAGCTTAAACGAACTATATAGTTCATGGATTTTATGCATTAGCGCGCACACTATTGAATAACATGGAGTTTTGTACGCATTTAATGGCCTTTGATTTAATGATAAATAGTGCTGACACAAAATTGCCAAGTAAATCTAGATTAAGTTTTACAAAAACCTAAATAGCTATATAAATACATTATGGGATATAAATCGGTGCTCATGTGTGATAGAACATGACGGTGACGACTGGTTTCTATTTTTATTACCACGGTTGATAGACTCATCAACAATGTAATGATATATTTTTCATATGAACGTAGGCATTAGGCTAGGATCCATGTACTATATTCTAGTGATCATTTTGAATCAAACAAAAATAACTAGTGGGGTGTATAGCATCGTGCCTTAAGGCAAATTGCTGGAACTTCCCATACCATAACGAAATGTTCGAGGAATACTGAATGTTTTCAAATAGGTTATTATTAATATTGTAACATTGTCTACTTTTATTTAAGAATTATATAAACTGAATTGCAAAGTTGAAACTATTCGTTTAAAGTATATTAGAACTATAGTCAGAATTAAAAATAAAATGTGAATTATTTTCGATATACAAAAATTTTTTGTCAAAAAAGAGTTGTAACAAAAATTTTTTACAAAGTCAATTATTTTGTTAAGACAAGCAGAAAGTTCTTTGAGTCATTTAAATCGGACGCTTAGTACTCTCAAAAACTGCCATTTTTTACACGTTTAGCTCCGTATCTTTGAAATGGCTGGGCCTGCCTTTGCCAAGAACTAATAACCACTTCTCCTAATCA